GGGCCCTGAAAGCTGTACAGGCTATATTTGAAATGCAAAATACCACTTTGGGGATGTTATGGGTATATATGTATGTATGTTTGCGAAGTGGGAAAGAAAACTAGGATCCAGAATGACTATTGGCATGTTAAGGAAGATATAATCATTGTTGTGATGTACATGTTTATAAACATGTTTAGATTAATTTGTTTTCCTGTTTGGCATCCACTCTTATAAAGTCAAGGCTAAATTGAGGTGGGGGTGGGGGAAGAAAGAAGACCAGGATACAATTTGTAAACTAATATGGTGGAAGTAAATAAACGTATACAATGCTGCCAGAGAGCTGTTGCCATGGCCACACATCTAATATAAAACATGCCACTGTTAATAAATGTGGAAATGCAAGAATATTTGTCAGCAGTGCATGAAACTGAATGACAAGAGGAGAAGGTGCAATTAAGAATAAATTCCAAAAGTAGCAAAGCACTTAGTCTCATATCACCACAGCAGAAGCCCACGGTTGTGCTTCTGTGGCTTACATTCCCTTGCTATTTGGGGAAGCAAGGTTTCGTTTGCCAAGGCAACTTCAGGTGCCAGACTAGGAAGAGTATGCCTAGGGGACAATATGTTGGGATTGGATCTGGAGATTTAGGGTGGAATTGCAGCTGCATTGCATGGGAATAAGCACTCTGGAGCCTTATTTCTCCCTCTGTAAAATGAGAGCTGTAGTGAGCCGGGCCACTCACTTGTGGCAAAGGGCATCACTTTACCCCCGTTGATTATGCCTCCAAAGGATGGGTTGCTCACTCTGAAATGTTAAGCAAAGTTTACATTGAAGAAGTAGGGCTACGGAGCTCTGATCTTGGTAGAATGAATGGAGGCTTGACAGCAGAGGCATGGAAAGGAAAGGTTAGCATGTACATGTGGGGATGGATGGATCAAGGGTTAGAGGCTGTTTTCTGAAGGCTGAAGCCCTGCAAATTCCCACCGAAGATCTCAGACTAGAAAGCAGAAATATCCCGAGGTCTGAAAAATGTCATACCAAGGAATCCCACTGGCACTTTTCCTGTCTGCCTTCCCCGTGGCCTCCATATCTGATCTGAAAAAAATGACACCAGAAGCACTGCTGCTTCCTTAGGTAGGATGTAATGGGAAGGAGGAAAGGGAAGTGCGGAGCTTTCTATGGAGATTCTCAGTCATCCCAGGTCATGGTTGCCCCCAAGGGTGCTTTTTTCAGGAGGCAACTGGACTTCCTTGTTTTTCTTTTGAAGACATTTCACTTCTCATCCAAGAAGCTCCTTCAGCTCTGACTGGATGGTGGGGAATGGAAGGATTTATACTCCTTGCAGACAGCTGGCCATTTGCATCCTTTTAGAGGGTGGTTGAAGCATTTGGAGGTTTATGTGTGTCCTCGGGGTCACCTGAGTAGTGCAAATGGGCTTGGAGCCTTCTTGGCTGCAGGATGTTTTTCTGTCCTGTGTCCCTTCACTGTTGAACACAGCTGCAGGCTGTTGGGGATGAGTCCGTGTTTTCTGCATCTCAAACCGAAGCACCAATGGTCCTTGTCGTCTGAAATGTTTGGAAATATGTTCATACTCCCACACCATTCCAAGGGTGTTCATCCCAAAGCTATGCAATGACCAGCTGTCAAATGACCAGCTGTCTGCAAGGAATATAAATCCTTCCATTCCCCACCATCCAGTCAGAGCTGAAGAAGCTTCTTGGATGAGAAGCAAAATGACTTCAAAAGAAAAACCAAAAAGTCCAGTTGCATCTCAAACTGAAGGGCAAATGGTTTCTAGCTTCATGTTCCATGTCTTGATTAAGATAAATAGCTTCAAAGCATTTTTCTCCAATTTGATGTCCCTCTGGTTTTCCTGTGACCCCTCTCTCCTATGCAGTGTTCTCCACCATATCTTGGCCATGCTGACTTTCCTGGGCACATGTTTTTTAAAAAAATATCCACAGCATTTTCTGAAACAGACAATGTTATGGGATGAGGAAAAAGGGCCAGTGGACATGAAGTTGCTTGGTAGGCCCTGTTTGGATTGGACCCAGGATTGCTCAACTCTTCTTGCAAGTAAAGCCAGGAAGAAATGAATTCACTGGGTTGATAAGCCACTGTTCCACCAAAAACGGATCTCAAGCTTTCACGATTTTTTTTTAAAAAAATGGAAGCAGCTTTATTTGTTTGTTTCTGTTGGGTAGGCAGATTGAATTTCTCCCTTTTACAAACGGATACCTCAAAATGGGAGCTTTCGGTGAAACAAGCCAAATCAATTTATTTTTACCTCAAAATTAGAAGTAAAACAAAATAACTGTTGTTGAGATAGGATAAGGAGGGGAGCTCTGAGAAATGATCCTCTTCAGGTTGGAATTTTAGATCCAATCTACATCATGTCTGATGCTTCCTCAGATTTTTTAAGGTTTTCATTTTCTGTCTCCACTAGAAATTTTTTTTATCACCAGTGCTCTTGTTTGGTACATTCCTTTCAAGTAGCAAGCATATAGCACTACTATTAGCAAAGTAGTAGTACATACATACAGCAATTAACTTGGGTGGGCAATAAACAAATTAGCAAGCTGTTAAGTTGCAGCTGTTAGGTGTGCCAGGGATTGGTACCATTTTGTGTGAGACATTTGTTTTTCTTGATGGATAATCTCTGTATAGGACAGTGCTGTGTGGCTGTGTGGTCCAAATATTTTTATCTTCAACCCAAGGCTGCTCTGTCCTTCATGGGAGACTCTTCTCTTCCAGCGCTTATGTCATTAACTGAGTTTCTAGCTCTTTGGCGGTTGATTGACTGACTTTCTTTTGCTTAAAAGGAGGCATCCATCTGGCTGCCTCCCAGTCCTTAGGTTTGATCCTGTATCGTTGAATCAATGGTCCAAAATGCACATGAACAAAGCCTGGGGACGCATTTTTCTTGCACTTTAAAAATAAGAAGGCTTTTGAAGTCTATATAGATGCTTTGCTGCCTGTGATGTTATTGATTCAAAAGATCAGAAGCAGAAAATTGGCTCCTTTGTGTAGTCACCTTAGGATCAAAAATGTTCCATGTTTTTCTCTTTAAGCTAAGATGCAAAAAATCAGCCACGAATATGACTGGAGAATAACAATGACAAGGGCTATTTACCCTCATGACTTGCTTGTGGACTTATTAAGGCTCATCGTTATGTCACCCTCACTGTAATATGAAGATACCGCAATAACTCTTTTCAGAGGTATGTTCTCACAATGTCACTTCTGTCTTATCTCTAGCCTGGTGTGGAGGCACTTAAAGTTAGCATTTGTTATTTCCCAGCCCTAGGCAAATCAGTCTTGAAACCTTGCCAAGAAAATTGCAGGGACTGATCCAGAGAGTTGTCAGGAGTCAATGCTGACTTGAAGTCATACACACACACACACAAAAAAAAACGCCCCCCCCCAAAAAAAAGCGGGGGGGGGGAAGGAAATTGAGTAATCTATAATCCCTGGCTAGAATCTGTCCTGCATTAAACCTACAAGAATATCCCCAGTCACAGATTGATAATATGAGTTATCATGTAATGTAATTGTAATTGAAACTACGAAATGGATGCACAAAAAATTGGTAAACCGACCAACACACTGCTTGTATATTTATGAAAGAAAGCTGGATGTTTTTATGTTTTGTTTGTTTTTGTTTGTCTTTAAAAACCAATAAAATTGTTTTTTTTAAAAAAGAATATCCCCAGTCACAAGCCTCATTTCCACGACATGGTAAAGCTTTGCACTGGGGTAGTGCCATGTATGGTGGTATACTTTTCTGCTGACTCAGTGATGAGTCAGTAGTAATAAGTCCCTTAGAGGCATTAAGAGGTCGTGATGGCTCAGCAGTTAAAGACACGGAGCTTGTCAGCTGGAAAGCTGGCAGCCCAGGTTCGAGACCCAAGTGCCAGCAACAGCGTGAGCTCCCGTTACTCGCCTCAGTTCCCGCCCACCTAGCAGTTTGAAAGCATGCAAATGCAAGTAGATTAATAGGTACCACTTCGGTGGAAAGGTAATAGCATTCCCTGCATCTCACTGTATAGTGATGCTGGCCACATGACCATGGAAAATGTATTTGGACTTCACTTGGTTTCCTCAGCTAAGAAATGGAGATGAGCAATGCCTCTAGACTCAGACATGATTGAACAGGTAAAACCTTTAGCTTTAGAGGCACTGGGAGAACCCTTGGAAAAATGGTTTGCTTGTCAAGGTTTTGGTTGCCCAGTGTTATCTTTGTTGGCACCACTCTGTCCTAAAGCTATAGTACAATATATTATAGTATCCACCAAGCTTTTAGCACCTTCAAATAGCCCCAACTGCATTTGAATGAAGGGAAAATTTTCCTAATTTTCTTGCATACTAGGCAACAAGGAGGAAACAATTATCCTTAAGGATACTGAAGGAAGTTCTTTTATGTCCAATAAGGTTTTTTGGGAGGGAGGTGTAGGAGGTGGAAGTCTGGAATTGGAAGTTTCACTTCTTTCTTTGGCCTTTTATACTGTTTGTCTACACCTGAGTCAAGCAAACATGTAATTAAATGGATAGGGGATGTGCACTGTAATTTCTTAGGGAAACGGCATTATGGATGAATAGTAATAGGTAAGTAAATCTCTAAAATTTCATTTGTCCTTGGTTTTAATCTTTTGTGGCTGAAATAGAAAGAAAACTTTATTTTTAGTACATTTTCTTTTTCCCCTGCAGACATAACAGTTGCCAGTTTAATACAATCATGTCATGTCCAAAAAACCCTTCTCTTTTCCCAAGACAAAGCCCTTTTATCTTTGCCTTACCAAGAAGAAAGAAATATCACTTACCTTAATAAAAACAGAAAGAAACTGACTCATAGATCCAGCCCCATGTAATTGTCTAAGCTGACCTAATAAAAGAAAGTCAATGTAACTCAGCAAAACCACAAACGTCACATCTAAAGTGGAGATGCACATTTAATTCCATCAAATTTCCATTGTTTGTTAGCTTTTCAAAGCTTACTGCTGCTTCTGCTTCTGAGAAGTGTGGTTTTGCTTACCTCTAAAGCCCCTTCCCTCACCTTAAACAAAACCAGTTTGATTTTCCTTCTATGGTCCAAAAATTACATCAGTAAATCAAAACTCTGGAAATTTCTCACTCCACAATTCAACGTTCTTATAAAAGTTCTTACCTTTCTATTGTGCCTTTTCCCTCTTTTTCTACAATCTGGAAGCCATCAATCATTGCTTTAATAAAGGGTGACCTTCCTCCTCAAAGTTGTGCACCATTTTTTGTCACCCAGGACAACTCCTTGGAAATAATGATGACCCTAAAACGAAATCATCTTCTGCTAAGGATTCGCCAACTTTCTATATTTCCAAAATATGATTTTTCTGGTTTTACCTACAGTAACTTTGATCCCTTCATCACTAACTTCAAAACACAGTACCATAGAAGCAAATTCAGAACATTTTTAACTTTGATGTGACCTAAAATTGTCACAATGTATTTGACATCACTTAGCAGTTCCTTTCTGGACAACTTTGTGACAAATAATAAGGGACATTTTACAGAGAGAATGTCCTTTTTGTATTCTTTCAGTTTCTTGTATGCAAAGGCAAAACAAGTGTTTTGCTATGGGTTCTAATTGGATGTGTCAAACTGTACCTCTGTCTTTCTGGGTTTTCTACTTTTTCGGTCAAAAGCTGCTTTCCACAAGCCTATTTTTTTCCCCTTCTTTGAGAGAAGTAAAGGGTGTGGTAGCAAAATAATGGCGTTTCTGTAGATGCGGCTAAAATTTGGGCTCCTGTTTATGTTCATTAGGCTTCAGAGAAGGGTCAAGACTAACAAAAGCTTCACCCATATACCTTAGCCTTTATTTTTCACCCTTACTCCCATATTCAAAATCACAAGACCAGTGGTGGGATTCAATTTTTTTTTTACTACCGGTTCTGTGGGCGTGGCTTGGTGGGCGTAGCAGGGGAAGGATACTGTTAAATCTCCAGTCAGAGGTGGTATCTGCCTGTTATCCGAACTACTCAAAATTTCCGCTACCGGTTCTCCAGAACTGGTCAGGACCTGCTGAATACCACATCTGCACAAGACCCAAAATTGCCTGTGATCTATGCCTAAGGCTTCAGAGACTGCAAAAGTAGGCCCAGGGTCATAAGTCAGTCAGGGCAGCCATTTGTAATCTAGGGTTTTTTTTTCTAACTCTTTTGCAGTTCTGTGAGAAACTGGTGTGGGTGTGTGGGTGTATGTGTGGGTGTGGGTGTGTTCATTATAGCCAGGACCATCCATACAATTCTTATACGGTACAGTGGAAAGGGATTTGTCAGCTTACATTGAGATGCCCCATCACTTCAGAGAGCATTTTTGCTCATAATAGCTCATTGTTTTTTCTCTGAATTGAGGGGGGAGGATTCCTTTTTTATTATCATATTCTGTGACCTGAACAAGCCTGTAAACCTCTGCAGACCCCATTGGTCAAGGAATTTTGGCTGGTGGGGACTAAGAGAAGAACCTATTCTGCCATCTGAGGTGAGGTCCACCTTTTTCCACCCTTCTTGGCCTTCTGAAAGGGCCTTAAAATGGCTCTGCTGGTTGGTTTGGGAACCAATGGGAGGGGTGTCTTGGCTGGGGGATGGTTGGTGGAGTATCACCTCTACCAATTTTTCGGGCTCTTGGTTCTTAGTTTTTATCTAATTCTTGTTAATTGTAATCTTTTTGTATTTGTGATTTTCTTATTGTATTGTAAGCTGCCCAGAGTCGCTTTGGATAATGAGATGGGCAGGATATAAATTTCATCAATCAATAAACAAGATGGCTGATAAGTTTTGGTAGTGGCATTTTGTTTGAGCCTCCTCTCATCAAATCTGGTTCTATACAGGTAATCCTCGACTTGCAACAGTTCATTTAGCGACCATTCAAAGTTACAAGGGCCTTGAAAAATATGTCTTATGGCCGCTTTTCACAGTTATGACCTTTGCATGATCATGGGATCAACATTCAGAGATGCTTGGCCACTGACTCATACTTATGACCGTTGCTGTGTCCCAAGGTCGTGTGATCCCCTTTTGCGACCTTCTGTCAAGCAAGGTCAATGGGGAAGCCAGATTCACTTAACAACTGGGTTACTAACTTATCAACTGCAGTGATTTACTTAACCATTGTGGCAAGAATGGTCGTAATATGGGGTAAAACGCACTTAGTAAATGTCTCCCTTAAGGACAGAAATGTTGCAATCGTACGTCGAGGACTAGCTGTATAGCAAATTTGGGGCACATGCTGTATTGCTCTGTCCCCAGCCTAGCAAGGGTTGGGCTCAGTGGTGGGATTCAAATTTTTTTTACTACCGGTCCTGTGGGCGTGGCTTGGTAGGCATGGTGTGGCTTGGTGGGCGTGGTTTGGTGGGCATGGCAGGGGAAGGATACTGCAAAATCCCCATTCCCTCTCCACCCCATTAACCTGCTTTCCAGCTCTGTTCTCCTGTGCAGGGCAACAAAAGAAAACCCAGCCAATCAACTGAGACTTGGGAGGCAGAGAACAGGTGGGGGCAGGGCCAGTCAGCGGTGGGATTTGCCAGTTCTCTGAACTACTCAAAATTTCCGCTACCGGTTCTCCAGAACTGGTCAGAACCTGCTGAATACCCACCTGTGATTGGGCTACAGGTTCTTCTGGATTCAGAGCCGTGACCAACCAATATGAGTACAGTACTCCAAGGCAGTATCAGAAAAAAAAAAATACTAGACAGGATATTTAAAAACACCACGATGCCATAAGATAAAGAGGAAAAGACCTACCCCTCCACTCCTGACAGCCCAAGAGATGATGGCAGACGGGTTCCTTTAAACCCAACAAATATGCATATCCAATTTAGGTCTGCTTCAAAGGTTCCATCTTATGGGGGTTCCAAAGCATAATTAATCACACCTGTTTTCTCTTCTCACTTGATTTTGCCAAGGCCAGTTATCTTATCTTGCCCTTGGAAAGCTTCACCAAATCTTGCTAAATATGAGAGCGTCCCAGGTTTAGGAGTACTTGCTATACCCAGCGATGATGAGGTCTTCTCAAGGTTACTGGATTGAAGAAGAAAAAAAAATGATCCTGCTTTACAGAAGCGTCCCTCTAAAGAGCAGAGCAAAACAAGATAGAACCCAAGTATAACTCTTTACTGAGTAAAATAAATGCTTGGTTAATGCTGTATTTCATGCTCACCATTACATGGGAATATACAGTTCTATTTACTATGGACCTGAAGGAAAGAGGTACCAATTCCTTCTTACTAGATGGTGAAACTGATTACACATGCTAAAAATGGAAAGTGCAGAGATGGAACTCTACTTGGATAACATTGGATGTGTTCATCTCATGCATAGACTAGATCATAAAGATGAAGCCAGGCTTCCAATATCTTTAAAAAAATTTTTCCAGGGTTGGAGCATTCACAACTTCTGGAGGCAAGTTGTTCCACTGATTAATTTTTCTAACTGTCAGGAAATGTCTCCTTGTTCTAAGTTGCTTCTCTCCTTGATTAGTTTCCACCCACAACTTCTTGTTCTGGAGAATAGCTTGGAGAATAGCTTGACTCCCTCTTCTTTGTGGCAGCCCCTGAGATATTGGAACACACTATCATGTCTCCCCTAGTCCCTCTTTTCATCAATCTGGACATGCCCAGTTCCTGCAACCGTTCTTCATATGTTTTAGCCTCCGGTCCCCTAATCATCTTTGTTGCTCTTCTCTGCACTCTTTCTAGAGTCTCAACAGCTTTTTTACATCTATGCATTTTGCTTTTTGTTATATATTCATGAACTGGAATAAAGCTTAGTCACAAGGTCAGCCAATGAGAGCTGAATTGAGGGCTGAAACTTAAAGAGAGAATCTGGACGTGGTTTATCTCTGTTCTGTGCTCCGCTCTAAAGTGAAAGAAAAACTTGCTTGCTTGTCTGTTGAAGTTGAGTTGCTGTTCTGCTCTGAACCTGTAACACGTCTGCTTCTGTTTGTTTGCTCCATGTTGGAGAAATCTACAACAGGTGTAAAATTTACTTAATATGTTTATAAAGACACTAAATGAAGCCTCAGCCATCGGTGTTTACCTTTCTGGTGCTGAATTGATGCTGCAAAACTCTGAACACATTTATATACATGCAATTGCATAAATTAAAATTAACTTTTAATTTTACTCAGCCTTAGCAAAACGGAGTGGCTATGAGTGTTTGGAGATAGGTTTCTTCCATCTTTGCACCATCCCAGACAGACCCAATGCACAATCTGGGGTTGGGGGTGGTGATAGCTTCCTCCTAGACTTATGGGTCCTGCTCAAAGAGTTGAGTCCATATGTGGATTAGGAGATCCTGCTCACAGGAATTCCTGTCCTCATAACCTCCCGTTTAGACTACTGTAACACTCTCTAGATGGGGCTGCCCCTTAAGAGCATTCAGAAATTTCAACTGGTGCAGAATGTGGCTGCGTGGGTAATAAATGGTGCCAGATAGACAGCACATGTAGCATCATTTCTGCATGAGCTGCACCAGTGTATTTCCAGGTGCAATTCCAGGTGCTGGCTGTCACTTTTAAAGCTTGGGATTGGGTTGCCCGAGGGATCGCCTTTTTGCATGAGTCTCTACATGACCACACTGATCTAGCAGGATGGGCATGCTGCAGATCCCATCGGCCAAAGAATGTCGGCAGACGGGAACTAGGAAATGGGCTTTTTCTTCAGTGGCCCTTGCTCTATGACACATTCTCCCTTCGATGATCAGAATGGCCCCAAACCTGTAAGCCTTTTATATGGCCCGGAAAACCAGGCTGTGTTCCTCGGTCTGGGCTGCTGAATGTGTCAAGGGCTCTGTTTCCTGGCTGTACTGCTAACTGTCCAAATATTTTGGCGACTATGTATATTTTGGATATTTTTATCGTGTTAAAATGTTTTAGTGTTTTAATCGTAATCTATGTTTTGAATGGTAATGTCAATGTTCCAAGGAAACTCTCCATTTCATTCAGCACTCAGAAACAAAGTTCGTCCAAGTAAGAAATTTATTGAAGAAGTAATATTGGC